ACGGTAGCTGGGAATCTTCCATGGCTAGACAGATCACTGCCATCGCCTTTCTTGACTTCCTCTTGTACGTCGCTTGGTCCAACTGAGTCTCGCACTGTTCCGCCTTGATCTCACCGCTGACGAACTCCCCATAGGGTCCTGTTCCTCCAGCACCATCTGCATCTTGAACTTCCAGGCGTGGAAGTTAGTTCCATCGAACTTGGAGATGCGGAGGGAGGAGGCGTCCATGGCAGCTAAGCTTGAATTGTTGGCGGTTTCAGAGTCTGACGAACTTGGGCTCATAACCTGTAAGAAGTAGGAGTTAAGTGAAGTAAATGACTTGTATATTACCGCGCACCAGACGCGTTTCGGCCCCTTCGCCGGGGGCCTTATCAGTGGTTTGTCAATCTACAAGTGAGAACTATCTATACGTCTAGCTGCCGTACGACCTATAATAATGCATAGAACCCTAAAGAACATTCTAGACATACCCTATCATGGGTCGAATCTCTGGAGTCGAATCCAGTGCATCATGCACTTACAACACTCCCCCTCGACGACATGAGATGCAGACCACTTTGGTATCGACCCGCCTGTAATCCTCACTGCTGCATCCGTGCACCATGGGAATCTTGATTGAGTCTTGCCCCTGCGCTCCAGCCAACCTCGATGATACCGAGCGTTCCAGGTATTCCAGCTCCCCCATCGTCCAGCACCATGTCACATCTGGACATCTCGTAGTCGTCGTTCGCCTTGGATGTAGTTTCCACTTCTTCTTGACCACAAATACACTTGTCACCACTTGACTTGACTCTTCCTTCGATAGCACTCGCGCATTCAGACCATCTCGCGTCACCACCCTTGCACAAACCCTTTTCGACTGCACGCGCACCGTCAACGATCCCTGTCGATGAATTCTTCGGCGCCTTACTCGTGCATCGAGCGCCTTCTCCGACGGGGTGTCCCTCGCACAAGTTGGTCCTTGGTGAGGTGTCTGCAGCGAGCACTTGGGCTCATAACCTGATGAACTTTAGACTTCTTGGTCCGAGTGCAAAACGCAAAGTGAATATATATTTATAATAGGTACTTAGTTCGCAACTTTGAATACTACCTCTAAGCCTATTATTCGCAGTGACGTCATCCAGTGACGTCACCCACTGACGTCACCCACTGACGTCATGCAATGACGTCATCCAGTGACGTCATTTCCTGACTTCGCCCTTACTGGTACATACCGGTACCCACCGGTATAGCGAAGCTTGGTCTTCCACTTGCTTCAACACTTGACGCAGCTTGACGAGGTGTCTTCTTCACAGCCGCTGTCTTTTCAACAGTGTTCGACGGGACCAAGATGTTTGCCGCTCGCAAATGATCGCACCAATTGGTGGCAACTGCAGATCTTGTGGATGGCCTTTATTGGCTTCACACAGCTCATCGATCGGCCAATACGGCAACAAACGGAAGCAACGGTGTCGACTTACATGAGCGAATGGGACACGCTCCAGCTGATGTTCTTCGCAAAATGGTGGCCACGAACATGATCAAGGATGTGAAGGTACCTCTCACGTCAAGTGGATCAAGCGCATGCCGAGGATGTCAACGAGGGAAAATGGTCCAAAAACCATTCTCACACAACCAGGACAAGCGCAGATTCGACACCTTCGAGCTACTTCACGTCGACATATGCGGACCCATGGAGATGAATTCTCTGGGTGGCAGCAAGTATCTACTGCTGATCGTTGACGAAGCCAGTGGATGCATGAAGGGCTTCTGTCTACGTGTGAAGTCGGAGAGTGAAAACTACATCACACGGTACATCAAGATGGTGCAAGCGCAGTTTGGCAAGAAGGTCAAGCTCGTCCGACACGACGGAGCCCGCGAGTTCACAACCAACTCGCTTCAAGAATTCTACGAAAATGAAGGCATTGAGAAGCAGAAGACGGTGCCATATGCACACCAGACCAACTGCACGGTAGAGCGCGCCATTCGGACTATCGTCACAATTGGTCGCAGCATGCTCTACCATGATAAGTTGGAAAAGTGCTTCTGGGCCGAAGCAGCAATGACGGCAATCTACGTCAAGAACCGTCTGCCGTCGCCTAACGTTATGCACAAGACTCCGTTCGAGATCGTCCACAACTCCAAGCCAAGTGTCAAGCACATGCGGGTGTTCGGTTGTCAGGTTTACATACTGACACCGAAGGAGAAGCGGCTCAAGTGGGACCCCAAGGCTCGCACTGGGATATTCTTGGGCTACGAAGAAGCATCTAAAGCGTACCGCGTTTATGACATCGAGGCGGGGCAGGTGGTCATCAGTCGCATGTCAACTTTGACGAGTCCGCCTTTGGATTTTCGCCGCCAACCACAGCTGAAGACGCCGATGACATTGACTTCGACTCCCTCGATCTGGATGATGAAGCGCCAGGTCAAGCGCAGTACAAGCAAACAGGCAAGCGCAAGAGTCGTCAAGTGTGGACGATGAAGAAACCGATTCTGGCCAACCTTAAAGTGTTTGGATGCCACGCGTATGTTCAAGTGCCTCAAGACAAACGCGCGAAGTTCGACTCCAAGTCATCACTCTGTCGTTTCCTGGGATACGCCGAACACCAGAAGTCATATCGATTTGAGGAAGTGTCAACAGGAGCGATCAAGATCAGTCGCGATGCCACATTCATGGAAGACAAGTTTGATGAAGGTCCGCGCAACTACAACGATGAGTCAAGTGTCGTTGAGTTTGATGATCATGATGAGGACGAAGAAAAAGAAGAAGGTAAAACTGACGACGACATGGACTCGAGCGACGATGACAACGAAGACACCAGGTCTTCGAAGAGCAACATCAAGAGACACACGCGCACTCAATCACTTGAGAAAGCTACCGTCATTCCAAGCCCCAAGCGAAGAACATACAGAGGTCCGTCGCTTGAGCATGTGTCAGCGGCTGCAATGGATTTTGAAGCAGCCTACATCGTTGATTCAGTGGGGGAAACGCCGACTACATTCAAGTCGGCGATGGAATCAAGTGACTCCGGCAAGTGGAAAGAAGCGTGTGACTCGGAGTTCGATTCGCTTCAGAGAAACGACACGTGGGAAATCGTGCCTCTTCCGAAAGGTCGCAAGGCCATCGGGTGCCGATGGGTTTTTCGTGTAAAGGAGAATCAAGATGGCGAAGTTGAACGTTTCAAGGCAAGACTTGTGGCCAAAGGATTCTCACAGAAATTCGGAGTTGACTATGAAGAAACTTTCGCACCGGTGGCCAAGTTCACATCGATTCGTGTGGTGCTCAGTATGGCGGCTAAGTACGGCCTAATGCTACATCAGATGGACGTCAAGACAGCGTTTCTTAACGGCTCCCTCAACGAAGACATCTACATGGACCAGCCGGACGGATACCTGGATACAACACAGCCGGACTATGTGTGCAAGCTAAAGAGATCACTCTACGGCTTGAAGCAATCGCCTCGCATGTGGAACCAAACAATCGATGGGTTCATGATCAAGATGGGATTCGAGAAGTGCGAATCGGACCACTGCATCTACATCAAGCGAGACGACCAAGACATGATTCTCGTGGTGCTCTACGTCGATGATCTCATCCTGGCCAGCAGCAACAACGAACTCCTCAAGTCAACCAAGATAGCGCTGAGCAAACGCTTCGAAATGACGGATCTCGGTGAGCTCGATTACTTTCTCGGCATGGAGATCAAGAACGACCGTAAGACGGGAATGGTGACTGTACAACAAACCAAGTTTCTCAAGTCCGTGTTAACCAAGTTCGGAATGGATAACAGCAAGCCAGTGAAGACGCCTCAAGATCCCGGCCTGAAGCTAACCAAGAACATGTGTGAACAAGAATGCAAGCACGAAGACACCATGTGCAACGTGCCATATCGAAGTGCTGTCGGAGGCATCATGTATCTCATGGTCGCCACACGTCCGGATCTAGCTGCTGCAGTGGGATCATTATCCCAGTTCTCGTCCGACCCATGCCCGACTCACTGGCAAGCTTTGAAGCGTGTGCTGAGATACCTGCAAGCAACGCCCAATCATGGTCTTGAGTTTACACGTGAAGAAGGAAGCCGTATCTGCGGGTACACCGACGCAGACTGGGCCGGCGACATTGAGTCAAGACGAAGTACAAGCTGTTGCATTGTAGATCGGAGCGAGGAAAGCGGAGCAAACGGAGCGGAGAGACCGAAGAGAGTAGAGCAGAAAATACTTGCCCAATAGTTGGAAGATTCGAAAGTGATTGATTATCGGGGCTTACTACTTACTACATGATTTATATGTGGTGCACATATAAATCATGTGAAGCGTCTCATCATCCTACGCGTCTGATCAACTATGGTAATTACCGTAAGAACTACGTCGTAAATACTAAGCTGAACAGGCGGTTCGGATTGGATCGGTCACGGTTACCAATACTGGTAGAAAACCGATGATCGTCAACACGCCCCCTCAATCCGAATGCTCACGAATCCCGAGAGTCGCCGTCATCTCCTTGTGGCGTGGCCCGTGAAGTCCCTTCGTCATGGTGTCCGCTAACATCACCGCAGTTTCACAGTACTTGAGCTTCACTTCACCGCGCTTGACCTCATCACGGATGTGATGGTACTTGATATCAATGTGCTTGGCACGGCCGTGGTTGACTGGGTTCTTCGTCATCTTGATACACGACTGATTGTCTTCATGGATCATGAGTTCCGGTCCTTCTTCATTGGCAGCCATCACGATCTCACAAAGCAGACGATGAATCCACTTGCCCTCTTGAATCGCCAAGCTGAGTGCGATGTATTCGGCTTCACTCGTGGACAACGAAACACTTGGCTGCTTCTTGCTGCCCCAACTGACTGGCGCACCGAGTAGCATGAACGTGTACCCCGATGTTGACTTGCGGTCGGTAAGATCACCAGCCCAATCCGCATCCGAAAATCCACGGAAGTCGATCCTTGCACTTGGCTTGTAGCAAATTCCATGCGTCTTGGTGCCTTGTAGGTAGCGAAAGATACGCTTAACTGCAACCCAGTGTTCTTCTTGGGGATTTTCCATGAACCGCGACACATAGCCCACAGCAAACGCAATGTCCGGACGCGTTGCAGTGGTCAGGTGCATCAACGCACCAACAGCTTCGCGAAAAGGAGCATCGACCTTGGTAGTTGCATCACTTGAAACAAGTAGAGAGCTCATGTCGACTGGACTTGCGACTGCCTTGAAATCATCCATGCCAAAGCGCTTGAGGATATCATCGACATACCGACGCTGACATAGTGTCACACTGCCATCTTCACCGTCCAAAAGCTCGATCCCAAGAACAAACGCACACTTGCCGCTGTCCGTCATTTTGAACCGCGTCTTCAGGTCGTTCTTGGTTTGTGCAATCAGCTCGAGTGAGCTTCCAGTCACCAAGACGTCGTCCACGTAGACCAGTATAAACACGCAATGGCCGTCCGAAGTCTTGATGTAGAGACATGGGTCGAAGTCCGATACTTGAAATCCGATGGAGCACACATACTCGTCGAACGTCTCGTTCCACACTCGCGACGCTTGCTTGAGGCCGTAAATTGACTTCACCAATTCCAGGCAGTCGAACGTACTGTCAAGTTCGACGCCTTCAGGAATCACGCAGAACACTTGTTCCTTCATGACGCCATACAGGAAAGCTGTCACCACATCAAGCTGGTCGATGGGCCATCCAAAATGCTTGGAAATTGCGATCACCATTCGCAGTGTCAAATACTTGACCACAGGCGAAAACGTCTCCGTGTAGTCGATGCCATACTTTTGGCGGAAACCCTTGGCCACAAGTCGTGCCTTGTACTTCTCGATTGACCCATCCGCCTTGCGCTTGATCTTGAACACCCATTTTGTGCCAATGGCGCGTTGTCCGTTGGGCAGCTTGGCTGCACGAAACACACCGCGAAGTCGCATTGACTCGAGCTCTGCATGAATTGCTTTTCTCCAGTGCACTTGGTCAGGGCCGCTTACTGCTGCTTCAAATGTTGAGGGTTCTGATAAGTCCACTGCTGCTTCAACGGCATTTGCACTCGCACGCCAAAACACAGGCGGTGTTGAATCACCAGAATCCTTCGTTTCTTCGTCTTCTTCTTGTCGTGACGAGTTGTTTTCCGGCGCGCTTGACTCTTCTAGTCCTGGTCGTTGACGCACTGCACGCGGTCGTGGAGCTGCTGTATCTTCATCATTGAGTCGGTTCTTGCGCTTGCCTGTTTGCTTGTACTCCATTTGACGCAGCTCTTCGTCATCAAGATCCAGCAATTCGAAGTCCAGGTCATCGACATCTTCATCAGTGATCGGCAGTTGAAGTCCAAAGGTGGACTCGTCGAAGTTGACATCGCGGCTGATAACCACCTGTCCCGCCTCGATGTCATAAACACGATATGCCTTCGAAACTTCTTCGTAGCCCACGAATATGCCAGCGCGAGCCTTTGGATCCCACTTGAGTCGATTCTCTTTAGGCGTCAGTATGTATGTCTGACACCCGAATGTTCGCATGTGCTTGACGCTTGGTTTCAAGTTGTAGACGATCTCGAACGGGGTCTTGTGCACGACTTTAGGTGACGGCAGTCGATTCTTGACGTAGATGGCCGTCATCGCTGCTTTGGCCCAGAAATACTTGTCCAGTTTGGCATGATGAAGCATGCTGCGGCCGATCGTGACAATAGTCCTAATGGCACGCTCTGCTGTTCCGTTTGTTTGATGTGCATACGGCACCGTTGTCTGTGTTGAATGGTGAAAAGCTTGACGACCGAAACTGGGAGTGATGCTGGGAGTCTACTCGGAAGACCGGAGAAGACACTTGGGGGGTAGATGGAAGATTGGAAAGTGATTGATTATCGGGGCTTACTACTTACTACATGATTTATATGTGGTGCACATATAAATCATGTGAAGCGTCTCATCATCCTACACGTCTAATCAACTATGGTAATTACCGTAAGAACTACGTCGTAAATACTAAGCTGAACAGGCGGTTCGGATTGGACCGGTCACGGTTACCAATACTGGTAGAAACCGATGACCGTCAACACGCCCCCTCAATCCGAACTCGCACGAATGCCGAGAGCCGTCGTCAAGTCCTTGTGACGAGGTCCGGAAAGTCCCTTGGTCATGATGTCCGCCATCATCACGGAAGTCTCGCAATACTCGAGCTGCACTTCCCCGCGCTTGACCTCATCACGGATGTGATGGTACTTGATGTCGATGTGCTTGGCGCGGCCATGATTCACCGGATTCTTCGTCATCTTGATGCACGACTGGTTGTCTTCACGGATGACGAGGTCCGGTCCTGGTTTGTTTGCGGCCGCCAAAATCTCGCATAGCAGGCGATGCACCCACTTGCCTTCCTGGATGGCCAGACTCAGTGCGATGTATTCCGCTTCACTCGTCGACAGCGACACACTTGACTGCTTCTTGCTTCCCCAACTCACAGGAGCACCCATCAGCATGAAAGTGTAACCCGAAGTCGACTTGCGATCAGCGTGGTCGCCGGCCCAGTCCGCGTCCGAGTAGCCACGAAAGTCGATCTTGTCGCTTGGCTGGAAGCGGAGTCCGTGCGACTTGGTCCCTTGCAAGTAACGAAAGATGCGCTTCACCGCCGTCCAATGTTCTTGCTGCGGATTCTCCATGAAGCGCGAGACGTACCCCACAGCATACGCAATGTCCGGGCGCGTCGCAGTCGTCAAGTGCATCAAAGCTCCCACAGCTTCACGAAACGGAACGTCGATCTTGGCCGCTTCGGTGCTTGCGACAAGCCGAGTGCTCAAGTCGACCGGACTTGCTGTGGCCTTGCACTCATCCATGCCGAAGCGCTTGAGGATGTCGTTGACATACCTTCGCTGGCACATTGTCACGCTGCCATCCGATTCGTCCACCAGTTCGATGCCCAGTACAAAAGTACACTTGCCACTGTCGGTCATCTCGAAACGCGTCTTGAGGTCGGCCTTTGTCTGCGCAATCAACTCGAGCGAGCTGCCGGTGACCAACACGTCATCCACGTAGACCAGCACGAGCACACAGTGACCGTCGACAACCTTGATGTAGAGACATGGGTCGAACGCCGACGCTTCGAAACCGATGGAGCATACGAACTCGTCGAAAGTCTCGTTCCACACACGTGAAGCTTGCTTGAGACCGTAGATCGCCTTCACCAACTCGAGACAGTCGAAGTCGCCATCCATCTCGACGCCTTCTGGTATCACGCAGTACACCTTCTCCTTCATCACTCCGTAGAGAAAGGCTGTCACCACATCGAGTTGGTCCAGTGGCCAGTCGAAATACTTGGTGATCGCGATCGCCATACGCAGTGTCACGTACTTGACCACGGGCGAGAACGTCTCTGTGTAGTCGATGCCGTACTTCTGCTTGAAGCCCTTGGCAACGAGACGCGCCTTGTATTTCTCGACCGATCCATCCGCTTTGCGCTTGATCTTGAACACCCACTTGGTGCCGATCGCGCCTTGGCCTCTTGGCAGTTTTGCCGCACGGAAAACTCCACGAAGATGCATCGACTTGAGTTCCGCCTTCACAGCATTTCGCCAGTGAGTTTGATCAGGACCATTGATCGCGTCTTGAAAAGTCACAGGTTCTGCTAGGTCCGTTGCTTCCACTGCGTTTGCACTTGCACGCCAAAATGTTGGAGGCGTCGAGTCGTCATCTTGATCGTACACGCTTGCATCTTCTTCGTCATCAGACATCGTTTCTGGAGCACTTGATCGTCGTTTCTGGTGACGGTTGGAGACGTGTTCCGGCGCACTTGCTTGTTCCAACCCAGTTCGAGGGCGAGCTGACCGTGACATGCCGGGTCTTGCTTCACTCTTGCGCTTGCCAGTCTGCTTGTAGACGGTTTGACGCACGTCGTCCTCGTTGATCGCCAGGAGGTCGAGGTCCAACTCCGCATCTTCATCATCGTCACTTGGTCGGTCCATCGAAAAGTCAAAAGTCGATTCGTCGAAGGTGATGTCACGACTGATCACCACTTGGCCCGCCTCAATGTCGTACACTCGATAAGCTTTTGAAGCTTCTTCGTAGCCCATGAATATCTCTTCACGAGCCTTCGGGTCCCACTTCAATCGCTTCTCCCTTGGTGTCAGGATAAACGCCCGACATCCAAACACGCGCATGTGCTTGACACTTGGTTTCGACTTGTACACGATTTCGAACGGAGTCTTGTGGTCGATCTTGGGTGAAGGCAGGCGGTTCTTGATGTAGATCGCCGTCATTGCCGCTTCAGCCCAGAAACACTTCTCCAGCTTTGCATGATGCAACAAGCTGCGTCCGATCGTGACGATGGTCCTTATCGCGCGTTCTGCGGTGCCGTTGGTCTGGTGTGCATACGGCACCGTGATCTGTTGTTGCTCGATACCATGATCTTCGTAGAAGGTCTTGATGGAGTTGGTCGCAAACTCATGCGCTCCATCGTGCCGAACAAACTTGATCTTCGTGCCGAACTGAGTTTGAATCTTGATAATGTGGTTCTTGATACAGTCTTCACTCTCAGACTTGGACCGCAGACAGAAGCCCTTCATGCAACCGCTGGCTTCGTCAACCACAAGCAGTAAGTATCTGCTGCCGCCGATCGAAACTTGTTCCATTGGCCCGCAGATGTCGAAGTGCAGCAACTCGAACACACCATATTGGCGTTTGTCACGGTTGGTTGGGAATGGTTTTTGAACCATCTTTCCTTGCTGGCAACCGCGACACACACTTGGACCAGTCGAGTTGAGAGGTGCCTTGGCGTCCTTGATCATGCCAGTGGCCACCATCTTGCGCAGAACTTCGAGGGGGTGCATGACCCATGCGCGCATGCAAGTCGATGGTCCCATTGCGTGTTGCTGCATTTGCCGATCGTTGAGGAGTCCGCAGCCAGTAAAGTCCATCGACGAGATCCGCTGTTGCCACGACTTGTGTGGAATTCTTGCGCTTCACTTGCATCTTGGATCCATCGAACACGACTTGGAACCTGCCACCCTTGTTGATCTGTGGCACCGAAAGCAGATTCTTGCTCATACTTGGTACGAACAGTGCGTCCTTGATCTCGATGTCGAGTTCGTCACCATTGGGCAGAACCACCCGTTCCATGATGGTTCCCACACCCTTGATCGCAGCCTTGCTGCCATCAGCCACTGATAGTTCGCCTTCCTCTCGCTCATTCAGGCTTGCAAACTTGGCCTTGTCGTTGCAGATGTGATGCGTCGCACCGCTGTCGACTGCCCACATCCCTGGCATATTCTTGCCCGTCGAAAGTCCAGCCTCCAGCGAAACCGCGAACGCAACTCGATCGTAGTTGTCATCGTAGTTGCTGTTGGTTCGCCACTGAACGTTGTTGGCTCCGCGTCCACGAGCATTGTTGCCGCCGCGTCGAGCTCCACCTTGATTTTCGTCCTTCTGCTTGGTCCAGCACCGCTCCGCCGTGTGCCCCAATTTTCCGCAGTATGTACACTGGCGAGGTTCACGCTCGGCACTGAACGCCTTCGCCGCGTCTTCAGTCTTCACCGATGTCGTCTTGTCACCTTGTCTCTTGATGTGCTCATTCGTGAGCACTCTCACGACGTCTCGCGATCGCAGTTCCGCGCTGCTCATCTCCAAGTTGAGAACGACGTTCTCGTAGCTCTTGGGGAGGCTGCGCAACAAGCAGATCGCCACGTCCTCGTCCTCCATCTTGGCGCCGATGCTGCTGAGCTTCGCGCTGATGTTGAGGACTTCGTTGCAATGATGCATCACATTGCCGCCTTCCGCCATCTCCATGCTGAACAGCTGGCGCTTCAAGTAGATGCGTCCAGCCTTCTGCGACCCGCCGTACAGCGTCTTCAAACGCGCCCACGCGACCCACGCCTCTTCACAGTCATCAACCACGTGATGATAATCCGCGCTCATGTGCAGCAGCATCAAGCCGAACGCAATGTTGTTCGTCTTGATGTAGTCGTCACTGGCGCGAGGATCGGCGAAGGTGGGGGTGGTCTCCCGGTTCACCACGTGCCACGCCGACTTGGTCAGGAACACGCCACGCATGTAGCGGCTCCACGTCGCGTAGTTGTCGCCGTCGAACTTGTCGATGGAGATCTTGGTGGTGGCATCATGAGCAGAGGACATCGTGCTTGGGCTCATAACCTGTTGAATGGTGAAAAGCTTGACGACCGAAACTGGGAGTGATGCTGGGAGTCTACTCGGAAGACCGGAGAAGACACTTGGGGGGTAGATGGAAGATTGGAAAGTGATTGATTATCAGGGCTTACTACTTACTACATGATTTATATGTGGTGCACATATAAATCATGTGAAGCGTCTCATCATCCTACACGTCTAATCAACTATGGTAATTACCGTAAGAACTACGTCGTAAATACTAAGCTGAACAGGCGGTTCGGATTGGACCGGTCACGGTTACCAATACTGGTAGAAACCGATGACCGTCAACAGTCTGCTGTTCAATGCCTTCGTCTTCGTAGAACAGTTGAAACGAGTTGGTTGCAAACTCGCGAGCTCCGTCGTGTCGCACGAACTTGACCTTCTTACAGAATTGCGTCTGTACCATGGTGATATATTTCCGGATGTAGTCTTCACTCTCGGACTTCACTCGTAGACAAAAGCCCTTCATGCATCCACTGGCTTCGTCGATGATCAGCAGCAAATATTTGCTGCCACCGAGCGAATCCTTTTCCATGGGCCCGCAGATGTCCAGATGAAGTAGCTCAAACGTATCGTAGCTGCGCTTGTCTCGGTTGCTTGGAAATGGTTTTTGGACCATTTTCCCTTGTTGACATCCTCGACATGTAGTTGCTCCACCCGACTTGAGAGGGACTCGCACATCCTTGATCATGTTGGTCGCGATCATCTTGCGAAGTACATCGACTGGAGCATGACTCATTCTCGCATGTAGATCGGCACAACTGGTTCCACTTGTTGTCACATTCGCTGATCGTTGAGTCGTCCGAAGCCAGTAGAGTCCATCCACGAGATCCGCTGTCGCCACCACTTGCTGTGAGTTCTTGAGAGTCACATGCATCTTGGACCCGTCAAACACGACTTGAAACTTGCCATGGCTGTTAATCTGTGGCACCGAGAGCAGGTTCTTGCTCATACTTGGAACATATAGCGCGTTCTTGATTTCGATCTCACGCTCTTCACCGTTGGGCAGAACCACCTTTTCCATGATGGTTCCCACACCCTTGATGGCCACCTTGTTGCCATCAGCCACCAAGAGTTCGCCCTCATTGCGCTCTGCCAAACTTGCGAACTTGGTCTTGTCGTGGCAAATGTGGTGCGTTGCACCACTGTCGACGGCCCACATTCCAGACACGTCCTTGCTCGTCGAAACTCCACATTCGAACGAGACTGCAAACGCCACTCGATCGTAGCCATTGCCTTCATCATGATGTCCCCACTGGACATTGTTAGCCCCGCGTCCACGACCATTGCCGCCGCGTCGGGCTCCCCGACCTTCGTTCTTCTGCTTTGTCCAGCAACGATCCACCGTGTGTCCCACCTTGCCACAATACGTGCATTGGTAGGGCTCACGCTCGGCGCTGAATGCCTTGCTTGCATCTTCAGCCTTCACCGTAGTCGCTGTCGTTGTCCCTTTTTCTCCTTGACGCTTGGCATGCTCATTCGTCAGGACTCTCACCACATCTTGAGTGCGAAGCTCGGTGCTGCTCATTTCCATGTTGAGCACCACATTTTCGTAGCTCTTCGGAAGACTGAGTAGCAGACAAATTGCAACGTCTTCGTCTTCCATCTTCGCACCGATGCCGCTAAGCTTGGCGGAGATGTTGAGGACCTCGTTGCAGTGATGCATGACGTTTGCGCCTTCAGCCATCTTGATACTGAAAAGTTGTCGCTTGAGGTAGATGCGTCCTGCCTTCTGCGACCCACCGTACAGCGTCTTCAGACTTGTCCACGCAACCCAGGCTTCCTCGCAGTTGTCCAGCACATGATGGTAGTCCGCGTTCATGTGCAGCAGCATCATACCAAACGCGACGTTGCTTGCCTTGACGTAGTCATCGGACGCTCGCGGGTCGGTGAAAGTCGGAGTCACTTCACGGTTGACAACGTGCCAGACGGACTTCGTCAAAAACACACCGCGCATGTACCGGCTCCACGTTGCGTAATTGTCTCCGTTGAACTTGTCAATGGAGGCATTGCTGGTGGACGACATGGCGCTTGGGCTCATAACCTGTTGCATTGTAGATCGGAGCGAGGAAAGCGGAGCAAACGGAGCGGAGAGACCGAAGAGAGTAGAGCAGAAAACACTTGCCCAATAGTTGGAAGATTCGAAAGTGATTGATTATCGGGGCTTACTACTTACTACATGATTTATATGTGGTGTACATATAAATCATGTGAAGCGTCTCATCATCCTACGCGTCTAATCAACTATGGTAATTACCGTAAGAACTACGTCGTAAATACTAAGCTGAACAGGCGGTTCGGATTGGATCGGTCACGGTTACCAATACTGGTAGAAAACCGATGACCGTCAACACAAGCGGCTATGTGTTCATGATGAACGGAGTATGCATCAGCTGGAAAAGCCAGAAACAACGGACGGTCGCGCTATCTTCAACAGAAGCAGAATACATGGCGCTTTCCGAAGCAACCAAAGAAGCAGTATGGCTCAAGGTGCTTTTGGGGGAACTTGGTGAGATGACAAGCGACGAAGCTATCAAGATATATGAAGACAACCAAGGATCAATCGCTCTCGCCAAGAACCCGGAGTTCCATAAGAGAACAAAACACATCGACATACGCTACCATTTTGTGCGTGAGAAGGTGGAATCAGGTGAAGTCGTTTTGGAGTATTGCCCGACTCAAGATATGCTGGCAGACATGATGACCAATCCGATCGCCGCTGTACAATTTGAAAACATTCGCGATCGACTTGGGATCCAAGGTGCCGCAGCTAACGAGTCGAGAGGGAGTGTTGAAAAGACAGCGGCTGTGAAGAAGACACCTCGTCAAGCTGCGTCAAGTGTTGAAGCAAGTGGAAGACCAAGCTTCGCTATACCGGTGGGTACCGGTATGTACCAGTAAGGGCGAAGTCAGGAAATGACGTCACTGGATGACGTCATTGCATGACGTCAGTGGGTGACGTCAGTGGGTGACGTCACTGGATGACGTCACTGTGAATAATAGGCTTAGAGGTAGTATTCAAAGTTGCGAACTAAGTACCTATTATAAATATATATTCACTTTGCGTTTTGCACTCGGACCAAGAAGTCTAAAGTTCATCACGCCACGATGGTGCACGCGAATTTACGGCAGATTCGATCAAGGCATCTTACGATGATCAAGGAATCGAGCAGCAAGTTACCGTTCCATATGCGCATCAGACCAACGGCACGGCGGAACGGGCAATTCGGACCATTGTGACGATCGGGCGCAGCATGCTTCACTACGCCGAGCTGGACAAGTGCTTTTGAGTTGAAGCAGCAATGACGGCGGTCTACATCAAGAATCGCCTACCATCGCCCAAGTGCCAAGATCAAACCCCGTTCGAGATTGTCAACGGATTTCGACCAAGTGTGAAGCACGTGCGGGTTTTCGGCTGCCGAACGTTTGTGCTGACCCCTAAGGAAAAGAGATCGAAACGGGATCCGAAGGCTCGTGAAGGACTATTCATGGGGTACGAAGAAGTGGTAAAGGCATATCGCGTTTACGACATTGAAGCGGATCAAGTGGTGATATCTCGCGATGTCACATTCGACGAATCAACGCTTGGTTTCTCGCCGACTCTACCACACGAAATTGCTGTTGACGATCATCGGTTTTCTACCAGTATTGGTAACCGTGACCGATCCAATCCGAACCGCCTGTTCAGCTTAGTATTTACGACGTAGTTCTTACGGTAATTACCATAGTTGATTAGACGCGTAGGATGATGAGACGCTTCACATGATTTATATGTACACCACATATAAATCATGTAGTAAGTAGTAAGCCCCGATAATCAATCACTTTCGAATCTTCCAACTATTGGGCAAGTGTTTTCTGCTCTACTCTCTTCGGTCTCTCCGCTCCGTTTGCTCCGCTTTCCTCGCTCCGATCTACAATGCAACAGGTTATGAGCCCAAGCGCCATGTCGTCCACCAGCAACGCTTCCATTGACAAGTTCAACGGAGACAATTACGCAACGTGGAGCCGGTACATGCGCGGTGTGTTTTTGACGAATTCCGTCTGGCACGTTGTCAACCGTGAAGTGACTCCGACTTTCACCGACCCGCGAGCGTCCGATGACTACGTCAAGGCAAGCAACGTCGCGTTTGGTATGATGCTGCTGCACATGAACGCGGACTACCATCATGTGCTGGACAACTGCGAGGAAGCCTGGGTTGCGTGGACAAGTCTGAAGACGCTGTACGGTGGGTCGCAGAAGGCAGGACGCATCTACCTCAAGCGACAACTTTTCAGTATCAAGATGGCTGAAGGCGCGAACGTCATGCATCACTGCAACGAGGTCCTCAACATCTCCGCCAAGCTTAGCGGCATCGGTGCGAAGATGGAAGACGAAGACGTTGCAATTTGTCTGCTACTCAGTCTTCCGAAGAGCTACGAAAATGTGGTGCTCAACATGGAAATGAGCAGCACCGAGCTTCGCACTCAAGATGTGGTGAGAGTCCTGACGAATGAGCATGCCAAGCGTCAAGGAGAAAAAGGGACAACGACAGCGACTACGGTGAAGGCTGAAGATGCAAGCAAGGCATTCAGCGCCGAGCGTGAGCCCTACCAATGCACGTATTGTGGCAAGGTGGGACACACGGTGGATCGTTGCTGGACAAAGCAGAAGAACGAAGGTCGGGGAGCCCGACGCGGCGGCAATGGTCGTGGACGCGGGGGCTAACAATGTCCAGTGGGGACATCATGATGAAGGCAATGGCTACGATCGAGTGGCGTTTGCAGTCTCGTTCGAATGTGGAGTTTCGACGAGCAAGGACGTGTCTGGAATGTGGGCCGTCGACAGTGGTGCAACGCACCACATTTGCCACGACAAGACCAAGTTCGCAAGTTTGGCAGAGCGCAATGAGGGCGAACTCTTGGTGGCTGATGGCAACAAGGTGGCCATCAAGGGTGTGGGAACCATCATGGAAAAGGTGGTTCTGCCCAACGGTGAAGAGCGTGAGATCGAAATCAAGAACGCGCTATATGTTCCAAGTATGAGCAAGAACCTGCTCTCGGTGCCACAGATTAACAGCCATGGCAAGTTTCAAGTCGTGTTTGACGGGTCCAAGATGTATGTGACTCTCAAGAACTCACAGCAAGTGGTGGCGACAGCGGATCTCGTGGATGGACTCTACTGGCTTCGGACGACTCAACGATCAGCGAATGTGACAACAAGTGGAACCAGTTGTGCCGATCTACATGCGAGAATGGGTCATGCTCCAGTCGATGTACTTCGCAAGATGATCGCGACCAACATGATCAAGGATGTGCGAGTCCCTCTCAAGTCGGGTGGAGCAACTACATGTCGAGGATGTCAACAAGGGAAAATGGTCCAAAAACCATTTCCAAGCAACCGAGACAAGCGCAGCTACGATACGTTTGAGCTACTTCATCTGGACATCTGCGGGCCCATGGAAAAGGATTCGCTCGGTGGCAGCAAATATTTGCTGCTGATCATCGACGAAGCCAGTGGATGCATGAAGGGCTTTTGTCTACGAGTGAAGTCCGAGAGTGAAGACTACATCCGGAAATATATCACCATGGTACAGACGCAATTCTGTAAGAAGGTCAAGTTCGTGCGACACGACGGAGCTCGCGAGTTTGCAACCAACTCGCTTCAACTGTTCTACGAAGACGAAGGCATTGAACAGCAGACAACGGTGCCGTATGCACATCAAACAAACGGAACAGCAGAGCGTGCCATTAGGACTATTGTCACGATCGGCCGCAGCATGCTTCATCATGCCAAACTGGACAAGTGTTTCTGGGCCGAAGCAGCGATGACGGCCATCTACGTCAAGAATCGACTGCCGTCACCTAAAGTCGTGCACAAGACCCCGTTTGAGATCGTCTACAACTTGAAACCAAGCGTCAAGCACATGCGAGTATTCGGCTGTCAGACATTTATACTGACTCCGAAGGAGAATCGACTCAAGTGGGATCCAAAGGCTCGCGCTGGCATATTCGTGGGCTACGAAGAAGTTTCGAAGGCATATCGTGTTTATGACATCGAGGCGGGGCAGGTGGTTATCAGCCGCGATGTCAACTTCGACGAGTCCACCTTTGGACTTCAACTGCCGATCACTGATGAAGATGTCGATGACCTGGACTTCGAATTGCTGGATCTTGATGACGAAGAGCTGCGTCAAATGGAGTACAAGCAAACAGGCAAGCGCAAGAACCGACTCAATGATGAAGATACAGCAGCTCCACGACCGCGTGCAGTGCGTCAACGACCAGGACTAGAAGAGTCAAGCGCGCCGGAAAACAACTCGTCACGACAAGAAGAAGACGAAGAAACGAAGGATTCTGGTGATTCAACACCGCCTGTGTTTTGGCGTGCGAGTGCAAATGCCGTTGAAGCAGCAGTGGACTTATCAGAACCCTCAACATTTGAAGCAGCAGTAAGCGGCCCTGACCAAGTGCACTGGAGAAAAGCAATTCATGCAGAGCTCGAGTCAATGCGACTTCGCGGTGTGTTTCGTGCAGCCAAGCTGCCCAACGGACAACGCGCCATTGGCACAAAATGGGTGTTCAAGATCAAGCGCAAGGCGGATGGGTCAATCGAGAAGTACAAGGCACGACTTGTGGCCAAGGGTTTCCGCCAAAAGTATGGTATCGACTACACGGAGACGTTTTCGCCTGTGGTCAAGTATGTGACGCTGCGAATGGTGATCGCAATTTCCAAGCATTTTGGATGGCCCATCGACCAGCTTGATGTGGTGACAGCTTTCCTGTATGGCGTCATGAAGGAACAAGTGTTCTGCGTGATTCCTGAAGGCGTCGAACTTGACAGTACGTTCGACTGCCTGGAATTGGTGAAGTCAATTTACGGCCTCAAGCAAGCGTCGCGAGTGTGGAACGAGACGTTCGACGAGTATGTGTGCTCCATCGGATTTCAAGTATCGGACTTCGACCCATGTCTCTACATCAAGACTTCGTACGGCCATTGCGTGTTTATACTGGTCTACGTGGACGACGTCTTGGTGACTGGAAGCTCACTCGAGCTGATTGCACAAACCAAGAACGACCTGAAGACGCGGTTCGAAATGACGGACAGCGGCAAGTGTGCGTTTGTTCTTGGGATCGAGCTTTTGGACGGTGAAGATGGCAGTGTGACACTATGTCAGCGTCGGTATGTCGATGATATCCTCAAGCGCTTTGGCATGGATGATTTCAAGGCAGTCGCAAGTCCAGTCGACATGAGCTCTCTACTTGTTTCAAGTGATGCAACTACCAAGGTCGATGCTCCTTTTCGCGAAGCTGTTGGTGCGTTGATGCACCTGACCACTGCAACGCGTCCGGACATTGCGGTGAAGATGGCAGTGTGACACTATGTCAGCGTCGGTATGTCGATGATATCCTCAAGCGCTTTGGCATGGATGATTGCAAGGCAGTCGCAAGTCCAGTCGACATGAGCTCTCGACTTGTTTCAAGTGATGCAACTACCAAGGTCGATGCTCCTTTTCGCGAAGCTGTTGGTGCGTTGATGCACCTGACCACTGCAACGCGTCCGGACATTGCGTTTGCTGTGGGCTATGTGTCGCGGTTCATGGAAAATCCCCAAGAAGAACACTGGGTTGCAGTTAAGCGTATCTTTCGCTACCTACAAGGCACCAAGACGCATGGAATTTGCTACAAGCCAAGTGCAAGGATCGACTTCCGTGGATATTCGGATGCGGATTGGGCTGGTGATCTTACCGACCGCAAGTCAACATCGGGGTACACGTTCATGCTACTCGGTGCGCCAGTCAGTTGGGGCAGCAAGAAGCAGCCAAGTGTTTCGTTGTCCACGAGTGAAGCCGAATACATCGCACTCAGCTTGGCGATTCAAGAGGGCAAGTGGATTCATCGTCTGCTTTGTGAGATCGTGATGGCTGCCAATGAAGAAGGACCGGAACTCATGATCCATGAAGACAATCAGTCGTGTATCAAGATGACGAAGAACCCAGTCAACCACGGCCGTGCCAAGCACATTGATATCAAGTACCATCACATCCGTGATGAGGTCAAGCGCGGTGAAGTGAAGCTCAAGTACTGTGAAACTGCGGTGATGTTAGCGGACATCATGACGAAGGGACTTCACGGGCCACGCCACAAGGAGATGACGGCGACTCTCGGGATTCGTGAGCATTCGGATTGAGGGGGCGTGTTGACGATCATCGGTTTTCTACCAGTATTGGTAACCGTGACCGATCCAATCCGAACCGCCTGTTCAGCTTAGTATTTACGACGTAGTTCTTACGGTAATTACCATAGTTGATTAGACGCGTAGGATGATGAGACGCTTCACATGATTTATATGTACACCACATATAAATCATGTAGTAAGTAGTAAGCCCCGATAATCAATCACTTTCGAATCTTCCAACTATTGGGCAAGTGTTTTCTGCTCTACTCTCTTCGGTCTCTCCGCTCCGTTCGCTCCGCTTTCCTCGCTCCGATCTACAATGCAACAATTGCTGATGACACTGCGCTGGATGTCGAATCTGTTGCAATTTGAGCGCGAGGCGAAGAGAAAACGAAGCGGAGAGACCGGAGAGAACGAAGCAGAGAACACTTGCTCACTTGAGGGAGGATTCGAATGTGATTGATTTATAGGTCTTAACTTCTGCCTACCCTAGACTGCATCCAATCACATGGTGCATCTAATCAACCTGATTTACACGCGTCCAATCATCCTACGCGTCTAATCATCTCTGAGGTTATTACCGATGTAAAAACTATCTCGTAAGAACTACGCGCTAGGTTCGGATTGTACCGGTAACCCTCAATACGCCCCCTCAATCCGAACACGCACGGATGCCAAGCGCCTCTGTCAACTCCTTGTGACGCGGTCCGTGAAGTCCCTTAGTCATGATGTCCGCCAACATCAACGTCGTCTCGCAGTATTCAAGCTTCACTTCGCCGCGCTTGACTTCATCACGGATGTGATGGTACTTGATGTCGATGTGTTTAGCGCGGCCGTGGTTGACCGGATTCTTCGTCATCTTGATGCACGACTGGTTGTCTTCACGGATGACGAGCTCGGGTCCTTCTTCGTTTGCAGCCGCCATGATCTCGCACAGCAAGCGATTGATCCACTTGCCTTCTTGGATCGCCAGGCTGAGCGCGATGTACTCCGCTTCGCTTGTAGACAGTGACACACTTGGCTGTTTCTTGCTGCCCCAACTCACCGGAGCACCCAATAGCATGAAGACGTAGCCGGACGTCGATTTGCGATCAGCAAGGTCACCGGCCCAGTCTGCATCTGAATAGCCACGAAAGTCGATCTTCGCACTTGGCTTGTAGCAGATTCCATGCCTCTTGGTGCCTTGTAGGTAGCGGAAGATGCGCTTGACTGCAACCCAGTGTTCTTCTTGGGGTTTCTCCATGAACCGTGACACAAAGCTTACAGCATAGGCGATGTCCGGTCGCGTCGCAGTCGTCAGATGCATCAAAGCACCCACTGCTTCACGGAATGGGACATCCACCTTGCTTGCAGAGTTGCTTGGAACCAGTCGAGAGCTGACGTCCACCGGACTTGCCACAGCCTTGCACTCATCCATTCCAAAGCGCTTGAGGACATCGTCGACATAACGGCGCTGACACATAGTCACGCTGCCATCTTCACCGTCCAATAACTCGATCCCAAGAACAAAGGCACACTTGCCGCTGTCCGTCATCTCGAAGCGTGTCTTGAGGTCGTTCTTGGTGCGCGCAATCATCTCGAGCGAGCTTCCAGTCACCAAGACATCGTCCACGTAGACCAGCACAAAAACACAATGGCCTTCCGAAGTCATGATGTAGAGACATGGATCGAATCCCGACGCTTGAAAACCAATCGAGCGTATGAACTCGTCGAAGGTCTCGTTCCAAACACGCGAGGCTTGCTTGAGACCGTAGATCGCCTTGATCAGCTCGAGACAGTCGAAATCACCTTCCATCTTGACGCCTTCCGGAACAGCGCAGAACACCTTCTCCTTCATCACTCCATACAGGAACGCAGTCACCACATCGAGCTGGTCGAGGGGCCATCCAAAGTGCTTGGTAATGGCGATCACCATTCACAGCGTCACATACTTGACCACGGGCGAGAACGTCTCCGTGTAGTCGATGCCATACTTTTGGCGAAAACCCTTGGCCACAAGTCGTGCCTTGTATTTCGCGATCGACCCATCCGCCTTGCGCTTGATCTTGAAGACCCACTTTGTGCCAATGGCGCTTTGTCCGTTGGGTAACTTGGCCGCACGAAAGACACCGCGAAGCTTCATCGAATCGAGCTCCGCATCAATTGCCTTGCGCCAGTGTACTTGGTCCGGGCCAGACACTGCTTCTTCAAATGTCGACGGCTCCGAAAAATCGACCGCTGCTTCGACGGCGTTTGCACTCGCATGCCAAAACGCGGAGGAAGTCTGTGTGTCATGTTGTTCCTCCGACTTCCTTTCTTCATCTTCGTTGACTCGACGTGAAGAGAGGTTATCCGGCGCACTTGACTCTTCCAATCCGGGTCGTTGGCGCACTGCTCGGGGCATGCTTGCGTCGTCATTGTCGTGACTGGGTTGGGCCTTGCGCTTTCCTGTTTGTTTGAAGTGTCTCGGACGCGGTTCTTCATCATCAAGATCGATCGATTCGAAGTCCAGGCCATCAACATCGTCATCGGAAATCAGCATCGACATTCCAAAGGCCGACTCATCGAAGTTGACATCGCGACTTATCATCACCTGCCCCGCTTCGATGTCGTAAACTCGATACGCCTTGGACACTTCTTCGTAGCCCAAAAACAATCCAGCCCGGGCCTTGGGATCCCACTTGAGTCGTTTCTCCTTCGGGGTCAAGATGTATGCTTGGCACCCAAAAACGCGCATGTGCTTGACACTTGGCTTAGAATTGTAGACAATCTCGAACGGTGTCTTGTGTGGAATCTTGGGTGACGGCAAACGGTTCTTTACATAGACGGCCGTCATTGCCGCTTCATCCCAGAAGCACTTGTCCAACTTGGTATGATGGAGCATGCTACGACCAATGGTGACGATAGTTCGAATCGCGCGTTCAGCAGTTCCATTGGCTTGATGTGCGTATGGCACCGTGGTTTGTTGCTCGATGCCTTCGACTTCGTAGAAATCTTGAAGCGAGTTCGTCGCAAACTCGCGGGCTCCATCGTGTCGCACAAATTTGACCTTCTTGTTGAACTGCGCCTGTATCATCGTGATGTACTTCTTGATGCACTCTTCGCTCTCTGACTTGGAATGCAGACAAAAACCCTTCATGCATCCGCTGGCTTCATCCACGATCAGCAGCAGATACTTGCTGCCACCCAGAGATTTTTCTTCCATGGGTCCGCAGATGTCGAAGTGGAGCATCTCGAAGGTGTTGTAGGTGCGCTTGTCACGGTTGCTCGGGAATGGTTTTTGGACCATCTTCCCTTCTTGGCATCCTCGACACACACTTGATCCATTCGGCTTGGAAGGGATGTGAGCGTCCTTGATCATGTGGCTTGTCACCATCCTGCGAAGCACGTCGACTGGAGCATGGCCCATTCGCGCATGTAGATCAACAGCGTTGCTGAGTGATGTCGCATTGGCCGATCGCTGCGTCGTGCGAAGCCAGTAGAGTCCGTCTACAAGATCCGCAGCTGCCACCACTTGATTGGAATCCTTGCGAGCGACGTACATCGTATCCCCGTCAAACACCACTTGGAAGTTGCCGTGCTTGTTAATCTGCGGCACCGAGAGCAGATTTTTGCTCATGCTGGGCACATAGAGCGCGTTCTTGATCTCGATCTCGCGCTCTTCCCCGTTTGGCAGAATCACCTTTTCCACGATGGTCCCCACACCTTTGATGGCCGCCTTGTTGCCATCAGCCACCAGGATCTCGCCATCATTGCCTTCGACCAAGCTTGCAAACTTGAACTTGTCGTGGCAGATGTGATGTGTTGCCCCGCTGTCAACGGCCCACATTCCTGGTCCATTCTTGTTCGTCGAAACTCCGCATTCGAACGAAACTGCAAACGCCACTCGATCGTAGCTGTTGCCTTCATCATAATGTCGCCAGTGGACATTGTTTGCCCCGCGTCGACGACCATTGCCGCCGCGTTGGGCTCCTCGACTTTCATCTTTTTGCTTCGTCCAGCAACGCTCTGCCGTGTGCCCCACCTTGCCGCAGTATGTGCATTGGTAGGGCTTGCGCTCGGTACTGAATGCCTTTGTCGCATCTTCAGTCTTCACCGTTGTCGTTGCCGTTGTCATCTTCTCGCCTTGTCGCTTGATGTGCTCGTTAGTCAGCACCTTGACCACATCTTGCGTGCGCAGCTCTGCAGTGCTCATCTCCAAGTTGAGAACCACGTTCTCGAAACTATTGGGCAGACTGCGCAGTAAGCAGATCGCAATGTCTTCGTCTTCCATCTTGGCACCGATGCTGCTGAGCTTGGCGCCGATGTTCAAGACTTCGTTGCAATGGTGCAAGACGTTGGCACCTTCCGCCATCTTGATGCTGAACAGCTGGCGCTTGAGGTAGATGCGTCCCGCCTTCTGCGACCCACCATAGAGCATCTTCAACCGCGACCACGCTGTCCATGCTTCTTCACAGTTGTCGACCACATGGTGGTAGTCGGCGTCCATGTGGAGCAACATCAACCCGAACGCGATGTTGCTCGCCTTGACGTACTCGTCGGAAGCTCGCGTGTCGGTGAAGGTTGGAGACGTTTCGCGGTTCACGACGTACCAGACTGACTTCGTCAGAAACACGCCGCGCATGTAGCGACACCAGGTTGAGTAGTTGTCCCCATCGAACTTATCGATGGAGACACTGGCCGAGGTGTTGTTGGATGACATGGCGCTTGGGCTCATAACCTGTTGTAACTTGAGCGCGAGGCGAAGAGAAAACGAAGCGGAGAGACCGGAGAGAACGAAGCAGAGAACACTTGCTCACTTGAGGGAGGATTCGAAAGTGATTGATTTATAGGTCTTAACTTCTGCCTACCCTAGACTGCATCCAATCACATGGTGCATCTAATCAACCTGATTTACACGCGTCCAATCATCCTACGCGTCTAATCATCTCTGAGGTAATTACCGATGTAAAAACTATCTCGTAAGAACTACGCGCTAGGTTCGGATTGTACCGGTAACCCTCAATAGAATCGATGGACATCAGCGATGAGCATCACTCGATGCAGTTCAAGCAAACTGGAAAACGCAGAAGCCGTCCAAACAGCCAAGAACAAGTTCTACAACGGACACTTCCTGAGCGTCGTGGAACCGGGTTAGAAGAAGCAAGTGCCCCGGATAACTTTGAATCGCACCAAGCGAAGCGACGGTCAAGCGCTCGAGCCAATCTGGACGAAGAGCGAAAGGGCAGTGACGAAGATAACGAGGATGCTACACCTCAAGTCTTTTGGCGAGCGAGTGTCAACGCAGTCGAAGGTACTGACTTGTCTGAGCTGAAAACGTTTAAAGATGCTGTTGATGGACCGGATCAAGTGCATTGGTGTAAAGCTATCTGTGCTGAGTTGGACTCGATGAAACTTCGTGGCGTGTTTCGAGCGACCAAACTGCCAGCTGGACAGTATACCATTGGCAACAAGTGGGTATTCAATATCAAGCGGAAAGCTGATGGATCCATCGAGAAATACAAGGCGCGTCTCGTGGCAAAAGGGTTCAAGCAGAAATATGTGTTGACGGTCATCGGTTTCTACCAGTATTGGTAACCGTGACCGGTCCAATCCGAACCGCCTGTTCAGCTTAGTATTTACGACGTAGTTCTTACGGTAATTACCATAGTTGATTAGACGCGTAGGATGATGAGACGCTTCACATGATTTATATGTGCACCACATATAAATCATGTAGTAAGTAGTAAGTCCCGATAATCAATCACTTTCCAATCTTCCATCTACCCCCCAAGTGTCTTCTCCGGTCTTCCGAGTAGACTCCCAGCATCACTCCCAGTTTCGGTCGTCAAGCTTTTCACCATTCAACAGGTTATGAGCCCAAGCACGATGTCCTCTGCTCATGATGCCACCACCAAGATCTCCATCGACAAGTTCGACGGTGACAACTACGCGACGTGGAGCCGCTACATGCGTGGCGTGTTCCTGACCAAGTCGGCGTGGCACGTGGTGAACCGGGAGACCACCCCCACCTTCGCCGATCCTCGCGCCAGTGACGACTACATCAAGACGAACAACATTGCGTTCGGCTTGATGCTGCTGCACATGAGCGCGGATTATCATCACATCGTCGATGACTGTGAAGAGGCGTGGGTCGCGTGGGCGCGTTTGAAGACGCTGTACGGCGGGTCGCAGAAGGCTGGACGCATCTACTTGAAGCGCCAGCTGTTCAGCATGGAGATGGCGGAAGGCGGCAATGTGATGCATCATTGCAACGAAGTCCTCAACATCAGCGCGAAGCTCAGCAGCATCGGCGCCAAGATGGAGGACGAGGACGTGGCGATCTGCTTGTTGCGCAGCCTCCCCAAGAGCTACGAGAACGTCGTTCTCAACTTGGAGATGAGCAGCGCGGAACTGCGATCGCGAGACGTCGTGAGAGTGCTCACGAATGAGCACATCAAGAGACAAGGTGACAAGACGACATCGGTGAAGACTGAAGACGCGGCGAAGGCGTTCAGTGCCGAGCGTGAACCTCGCCAGTGTACATACTGCGGAAAATTGGGGCACACGGCGGAGCGGTGCTGGACCAAGCAGAAGGACGAAAATCAAGGTGGAGCTCGACGCGGCGGCAACAATGCTCGTGGACGCGGAGCCAACAACGTTCAGTGGCGAACCAACAGCAACTACGATGACAACTACGATCGAGTTGCGTTCGCGGTTTCGCTGGAGGCTGGACTTTCGACGGGCAAGAATATGCCAGGGATGTGGGCAGTCGACAGCGGTGCGACGCATCACATCTGCAACGACAAGGCCAAGTTTGCAAGCCTGAATGAGCGAGAGGAAGGCGAACTATCAGTGGCTGATGGCAGCAAGGCTGCGATCAAGGGTGTGGGAACCATCATGGAACGGGTGGTTCTGCCCAATGGTGACGAACTCGACATCGAGATCAAGGACGCACTGTTCGTACCAAGTATGAGCAAGAATCTGCTTTCGGTGCCACAGATCAACAAGGGTGGCAGGTTCCAAGTCGTGTTCGATGGATCCAAGATGCAAGTGAAGCGCAAGAATTCCACACAAGTCGTGGCAACAGCGGATCTCGTCGATGGACTTTACTGGCTGCGGACTCCTCAACGATCGGTAAATGCAGCAACACGCAATGGGACCATCGACTTGCATGCGCGCATGGGTCATGCACCCCTCGAAGTTCTGCGCAAGATGGTGGCCACTGGCATGATCAAGGACGCCAAGGCACCTCTCAACTCGACTGGTCCAAGTGTGTGTCGCGGTTGCCAGCAAGGAAAGATGGTTCAAAAACCATTCCCAACCAACCGTGACAAACGCCAATATGGTGTGTTCGAGTTGCTGCACTTCGACATCTGCGGGCCAATGGAACAAGTTTCGATCGGCGGCAGCAGATACTTACTGCTTGTGGTTGACGAAGCCAGCGGTTGCATGAAGGGCTTCTGTCTGCGGTCCAAGTCTGAGAGTGAAGACTGTATCAAGAACCTCATCCTCAAGATTCAAACTCAGTTCGGCATGAAGATCAAGTTTGTTCGGCACGATGGAGCGCATGAGTTTGCGACCAACTCGATCAAGACCTTCTACGAAGATCATGGTATCGAACAACAGGTCACGGTGCCGTATGCACACCAGACCAACGGCACCGCAGAACGCGCGATAAGGACCATCGTCACGATCGGACGCAGCTTGTTGCATCATGCAAAGCTGGAGAAGTGTTTCTGGGCTGAAGCGGCAATGACGGCGATCTACATCAAGAACCGCCTGCCTTCACCCAAGATCGACCACAAGACTCCGTTCGAGATCGTGTACAAGTCGAAACCAAGTGTCAAGCACATGCGCGTGTTTGGATGTCGGGCGTTTATCCTGACACCAAGGGAGAAGCGATTGAAGTGGGACCCGAAGGCTTGTGAAGGGATGTTCATGGGCTACGAAGAAGCGTCAAAAGCTTATCGAGTGTACGACATTGAGGCGGGCCAAGTGGTGATCAGTCGTGACATCACCTTCGACGAATCGACTTTTGATTTTTCGATGGACCGACCAAGTGACGATGATGAAGATGCGGAGTTGGACCTCGACCTCCTGGCGATCAACGAGGACGACGTGCGTCAAACCGTCTACAAGCAGACTGGCAAGCGCAAGAGTGAAGTAAGACCCGGCATGTCACGGTCAGCTCGCCCTCGAACTGGGTTGGAACAAGCAAGTGCGCCGGAACACGTCTCCAACCGTCACCAGAAACGACGATCAAGTGCTCCAGAAACGATGTCTGATGACGAAGAAGATGCAAGCGTGTACGATCAAGATGACGACTCGACGCCTCCAACATTTTGGCGTGCAAGTGCAAACGCAGTGGAAGCAACGGACCTAGCAGAACCTGTGACTTTTCAAGACGCGATCAATGGTCCTGATCAAACTCACTGGCGAAATGCTGTGAAGGCGGAACTCAAGTCGATGCATCTTCGTGGAGTTTTCCGTGCGGCAAAACTGCCAAGAGGCCAAGGCGCGATCGGCACCAAGTGGGTGTTCAAGATCAAGCGCAAAGCGGATGGATCGGTCGAGAAATACAAGGCGCGTCTCGTTGCCAAGGGCTTCAAGCAGAAGTACGGCATCGACTACACAGAGACGTTCTCGCCCGTGGTCAAGTACGTGACACTGCGTATGGCGATCGCGATCACCAAGTATTTCGACTGGCCACTGGACCAACTCGATGTGGTGACAGCCTTTCTCTACGGAGTGATGAAGGAGAAGGTGTACTGCGTGATACCAGAAGGCGTCGAGATGGATGGCGACTTCGACTGTCTCGAGTTGGTGAAGGCGATCTACGGTCTCAAGCAAGCTTCACGTGTGTGGAACGAGACTTTCGACGAGTTCGTATGCTCTATCGGTTTCGAGGCGTCGGCGTTCGACCCATGTCTCTACATCAAGGTTGTCGACGGTCACTGTGTGCTCGTGCTGGTCTACGTGGATGACGTGTTGGTCACCGGCAGCTCGCTCGAGTTGATTGCGCAGACGAAGGCCGACCTCAAGACGCGTTTCGAGATGACCGACAGTGGCAAGTGTACTTTTGTACTGGGCATCGAACTGGTGGACGAATCGGATTGCAGCGTGACAATGTGCCAGCGAAGGTATGTCAACGACATCCTCAAGCGCTTCGGCATGGATGAGTGCAAGGCCACAGCAAGTCCGGTCGACTTGAGCACTCGGCTTGTCGCAAGCACCGAAGCGGCCAAGATCGACGTTCCGTTTCGTGAAGCTGTGGGAGCTTTGATGCACTTGACGACTGCGACGCGCCCGGACATTGCGTATGCTGTGGGGTACGTCTCGCGCTTCATGGAGAATCCGCAGCAAGAACATTGGACGGCGGTGAAGCGCATCTTTCGTTACTTGCAAGGGACCAAGTCGCACGGACTCCGCTTCCAGCCAAGCAACAAGATCGACTTTCGTGGCTACTCGGACGCGGACTGGGCCGGCGACCACGCTGATCGCAAGTCGACTTCGGGTTACACTTTCATGCTGATGGGTGCTCCTGTGAGTTGGGGAAGCAAGAAGCAGTCAAGTGTGTCGCTGTCGACGAGTGAAGCGGAATACATCGCACTGAGTCTGGCCATCCAGGAAGGCAAGTGGGTGCATCGCCTGCTATGCGAGATTTTGGCGGCCGCAAACGAACCAGGACCGGACCTCGTCATCCGTGAAGACAACCAGTCGTGCATCAAGATGACGAAGAATCCGGTGAATCATGGCCGCGCCAAGCACATCGACATCAAGTACCATCACATCCGTGATGAGGTCAAGCGCGGGGAAGTGCAGCTCGAGTATTGCGAGACTTCCGTGATGATGGCGGACATCATGACCAAGGGACTTTCGGGACCTCGTCACAAGGACTTGACGACGGCTCTCGGCATTCGTGCGAGTTCGGATTGAGGGGGCGTGTTGACGGTCATCGGTTTCTACCAGTATTGGTAACCGTGACCGGTCCAATCCGAACCGCCTGTTCAGCTTAGTATTTACGACGTAGTTCTTACGGTAATTACCATAGTTGATTAGACGCGTAGGATGATGAGACGCTTCACATGATTTATATGTGCACCACATATAAATCATGTAGTAAGTAGTAAGCCCCGATAATCAATCACTTTCCAATCTTCCATCTACCCCCCAAGTGTCTTCTCCGGTCTTCCGAGTGGACTCCCAGCATCACTCCCAGTTTCGGTCGTCAAGCTTTTCACCAATCAACACAACCGTCACCAGAAACGACGATCAAGTGCTCCAGAAACAATGTCTGATGACGAAGAAGATGCAAGCGTCTACGATCAAGATGACGACTCGACGCCTCCAACATTTTGGCGTGCCAGTGCAAACGCAGTGGAAGCAACGGACCTAGCAGAACCTGTGACTTTTCAAGACGCGATCAATGGTCCTGATCAAGCTCACTGGCGAAATGCTGTGAAGGCGGAACTCAAGTCGATGCAACTTCGTGGAGTTTTCCGTGCGGCAAAACTGCCAAGAGGCCAAGGCGCGATCGGCACCAAGTGGGTGTTCAATATCAAGCGCAAAGCAGATGGATCGGTCGAGAAATTCAA